TTTTTTGCCAGCAAAGACCAAAAATTTTATGAGCGTGGAATTATGCTACTACCAGAAAGATGGCAAAAGGTGTTGGACCAGAACGGTCAATATATAATTTAATAAAGTATTTGTTTATTATACGAAAACTGTCTTTCATTTCCACAAAAAAAAAACGAAATGACTTTCCGAACAACCCTATAATATCAAGAGTGGGATAGACTTGGTTTTAGTCTTAGTTTGCTCGTCACTAGTTGATATTCTAGAAAATTTCGATATTAAAATGCGGAACCAGGCGCAGAAACAGATATGAAAAATCGTGCCGAATTTGTTTTTCGTTAGTTTTTCCTTTTTACTAAAATTACTTACGGCACAAGTGCTTTCCCTTCTTTCGCCAACTGTACAGACGGTGTTAGTACCCACAGCATCTTTTCCGAATACTTCAGCGCATTTGCTGTTGCTGATGGTCTTAACTTGTATGTATCTTAATAGCCAGCTAGGATGGGCACCTGAAACACGATGATTTTAAATTACCTATATATATATTATTAGATTATAATGCCTGTTACTATTGTCTGTAGTTAGTCCCCAACCACTAACTTCGACGATCTGGTTTTCATCAAGGACTTCTCCTTTCGAAGGAAGTTGAATCGTATTTATCTCGTCTATTAAAACAGAAGAAGGAATTAAGAAATCTTATTTAAAATCAGTATCAGTTTAATATCGATAATTATTTTCAAATTTTATTCATACGTACCAGTAATCTCAACGTTCCTTCCCAAATCAATTAGGGCGATGTCATTATTGAGATTTCGATTGTTATAGTGATTGTGAATAATACTTTTGGTCGTTTCAATTGTGATCATTTTCTCATCATCACTCATTACTATTGAACCCAAACGTATCGAAAAATTAGTAGCACTAAAAATATATCAAAGTACTATACAGAGTGTTTCTGGTGGAGCACTATAAAACAAGAAAATTAAGAAAATGTTTAGTAGTCTGAAAGTCCACTGTTTTCGAGAAAAACGTGTTTCAAAGTACAGTCCTGGTAGGTTTACGTAAGGAAATGCGACGCCGCATTCAATCAGATGCAGCATCCGTGTTGTACGAGTATTTCTTTTGAATTTTGTGTTCTTAATATCATGTCGAGGTGTACTTTAAATAGTACTGCATACTGACAAAGATGTTATTTAATTAATTGTTAGTAAAAATGCTGTAGCTACACGTCTTAATAAAATTATGAAAAAGAAATGTTTAGTAGTCTGAAAGTCCACCGTTTTCAAGGAAAACGTGTTTCAAAGTATAGTCCGGTCCTGGTAGGATTACGCAAGGAAATGTGACNTTTTAAATACTAGGTGTACTTTAAATAGTACTGCATACTGACAAAGATGTTATTTAATTAATTGTTAGTAAAAATGCTGTAGCTACACGTCTTAATAAAATTATGAGGAAGAAATTACTCAACTGATAATAGTGAAGAATGTGGAGTTTCTGCGCGATCTCAAGTAAAAGTTCTTTTTGTTTTGGAACGATATTTACGGCACTTAATCGCGATCTCTTTAATAATTGTAGAACAACTATTTATTACCTAAAAGCACAATGCGCTGCTGTTAAAATCCACCGGGGCCTAATGAGAGAGCCACCGCAAAGTAACTCTTCACCTGGTTCAATTCTATAAATAATACTGACTTGCCAAGGAAATTGACCAAATTTAGCAATATTACCATTTACTATTCTTTTGTGATTGCTTATTGATTCTAAAACAAAGTTTAATGAAGATCAAACAAAAACATGTTGATTCTGTTAAACAGTAATTTAAAAATTTGAAATATTATAAAATAGAATATATCCAGTAGCGTAAAAAGTAAAGGATAAAAAATGGTTATTGTGGGTTATCCCTAAGAGATAGGCATATACCATCCCAGACTTTTTTGTAGACCTTTCTAAGGTGTACATTACTCTAGTATATTATTTTGATCTATCTCGTAGGTTTCAGCCAGCGTTTACAATGTAAGCGCAAAAAATGTGTTTATTTACGACATCACATTACAAACCCCTAAAATTATCAGTGTTTCTCTACTATATTATGCATGAATTATACATATAAACCTTCCTCCTGAAAATTAATTACAAAAGGAGTTCTACTATGTTTTAGCTATTACTTACTTCTTATCTGCTCTGGAAAAGCTAATTCTAATGGTGCTCTAACCTACATTAAAAAAATAAATGGAATTCTTTTTAAGAGTTGTATGTTATGAGTATTACATTACTGCTTACTTTATTAGGGCAACGCAAGGAAGAATAAGTCTTTACCACCAATAATAACAAAATTAGAAGTAAGAAACAGTTCATGTTTGTAGGCTCAACGATTTTACTTTTAAATGAACAGTATATCAAATTCTTATTAATACATTACAATAGCAATATTATTGTTAACAAAAAACTCATTTAGTAAATGTTTTTATTTGAATAGGGCATTTTACTTTATTAGCATTTCAAACATTAAAGGCTGATTAGTTGTGGAAAGCAATTTTCGTCGTCATTATTATAAACTACAGTATATATAATACTCTTATCGTGATAACTTTAAAAGTAAAAGAAAAAGCTAAATTAACGTTCTTTTAAAACATTAATTTTTCGTTACTTTAGATCACATTCATTCAAATAATCGATCCTGTCCAGTCACGACTGAGGTCACATTTCCAATGGGACCAATTCAAGGATCATTGGGAGGAAACTTTGAGGATACTCACCACAGGAGCATCACACTGCCAATTAATTGACTATAGGATCGTCCTTATTGGATCGGGCGGACTTCAAGGAGAGGTAGAATTTATAAATTTTCTTTAAAACTTCTTCCTTTTTGTTTACTTACACTATTTATTTTAGTAACTACGTAATCTTTTTCATTTTAACTTAATTATTATTATAACTTCAGAAATTCGTGTACAGGCAACATAAGGACTCCAGGTCTTATTTAGGACCCTTCACCTTTCCAGGGATATCGTCCATCAACGGGGGGCCATTTCTAACGGGTGAGGATAGCTCCCAACTGGTCATCTTTTAACGACTGGAGCCGTGTTCCCATGGTAGGAAGTCCCTTTCAACGGCGAGGAAGACTTATCCCTTCGCGAATGGGAACACCTTCAAGTTTTTTGAGGGTGTTCATCTCTGCGGGAGGGCGCCATTTGTACCGCTTCTTCCTCAAATAAGATCATCTTCTAGCAACTTGGTGGTGATTTCTGTTTGCGTAGGTTTACTTTCTTCTAGTTTTTCAGACATTCTTGAAACGTTTATTTTTCTTTGTTGAAGTAATTTCTTTTTTGTTTAGATTAGGTTAAAATTTGTATTTTATTTACATTAGATGATTTATTTAGTTTTCTAATTTCTTTTAATTCCCTTTACATAAGTTTTAAGCTGTTTTTTTCTTTTTTAGTTTAAATCTATCCATTTAGGATGATCGTCCTGGATAGTCCTGAAATGAGAGTAGATAACCAATGGGACTAATCCAAGGATAGCTGGGAGAATACTACAAGGAAGGGTAAGAATTATAAGCCTCGCATCTTTTCAAATCTACCCTTTCTTTTATTTAGTTTTGGACATACTTGAAGCTTTTGTTTTTCAATGTTGAAATAATTTATTTTACATTAATTTGATTGAAAAATGTATTTTATTTACGTTAAATGATTTATTTAGTTTTTTAATTTCTTTTTATTTCCTTTACATAAGTTTTAAGCTGTTTTTTCTTTTTTAGTTTAAAACTCTATCCATTTAGGATGATCGTCCTGGATGCTCCTTAAATGGGAGCAGATAACCAATGGCACTAATCCAAGGATAGCTGGAAGGATACTACAAGGAAGGGTAAGAATTATAAGCCTCGCAAATTTTCAAATCTACCCTTTCTTCTTTTTAGTTTAGGACATTTTTAAGACATTTATTTTTCTTTGTTGAAATGATTTCTTTTTGTTTAAATTTGGTTAAAACTTGTATTTTATTGACATTAGATGATTTATTTAGTTTTCTAATTTCTTTTAGTTCCTTTTACATATGTTTTAAGTTGTTTTTTCTTTTTTAGTTTAAAACTCTATCCATTTAGGATTATCGTCCTAGATAGTCCTGGAATGGGAGCAAATAACCAACGGGACTAATCCAAGGATAACTGGGAGGATACTACAAGAAAGGGTAAGAAATATAAGCCTCGCATCTTTTCAAATCTACCCTTTCTTCTATTCAGTTTAGGACATTTTTAAAACATTTATTTTTCTTTGTTGAAATAATTCCTTTTTGTTTAAATTTGGTTAAAACTTGTATTTTATTTACATTAGATGATTTATTTAGTTTTCTAATTTATTTTAGTTCCTTTTACATATGTTTTAAGCTGTTTTTTATTTTCTAGTTTAAAACTCTATCCATTTAGGATGATCGTCCTAGATAGTCCTGGAATGGGAGCAAATAACCAACGGGACTAATCCAAGGATAACTGGGAGGATACTACAAGAAAGGGTAAGAAATATAAGCCTCGCATCTTTTCAAATCTACCCTTTCTTCTATTCAGTTTAGGACATTTTTAAAACATTTATTTTTCTTTGTTGAAATAATTCCTTTTTGTTTAAATTTGGTTAAAACTTGTATTTTATTTACATTAGATGATTTATTTAGTTTTCTAATTTATTTTAGTTCCTTTTACATATGTTTTAAGCTGTTTTTTATTTTCTAGTTTAAAACTCTATCCATTTAGGATGATCGTCCTAGATAGTCCTGGAATGGGAGCAAATAACCAACGGGACTAATCCAAGGATAACTGGGAGGATACTACAAGAAAGGGTAAGAAATATAAGCCTCGCATCTTTTCAAATCTACCCTTTCTTCTATTCAGTTTAGGACATTTTTAAAACATTTATTTTTCTTTGTTGAAATAATTCCTTTTTGTTTAAATTTGGTTAAAACTTGTATTTTATTTACATTAGATGATTTATTTAGTTTTCTAATTTATTTTAGTTCCTTTTACATATGTTTTAAGCTGTTTTTTATTTTCTAGTTTAAAACTCTATCCATTTAGGATGATCGTCCTAGATAGTCCTGGAATGGGAGCAAATAACCAACGGGACTAATCCAAGGATAACTGGGAGGATACTACAAGAAAGGGTAAGAAATATAAGCCTCGCATCTTTTCAAATCTACCCTTTCTTCTATTCAGTTTAGGACATTTTTAAAACATTTATTTTTCTTTGTTGAAATAATTCCTTTTTGTTTAAATTTGGTTAAATTTTATTTACATTAGATGATTTATTTAGTTTTCTAATTTCTTTTTGTTTCCTTTACATATGTTTTAAGCTGTTTTTTATTTTTTAGTTTAAAAGTCTATCCATTTAGGATGATCGTCCTGGACAGTACTGGAATGGGAGCATATTTCCAATGAGACTAACTCAAGGATCGTGGGGTAGACATTTTATAAAAAGGTAAGATTTGTATGTCTTATTAATTTTCAAATCTACCCTTTCGTTTATATAGTTTTACTTTCTTAAAATATTTGCTTTTCTTTACTTTATTCAAATCTTTTTGTTTTACTTAGTTACGACTTTTATTTCATTTACACTTATTAATTTAGCTTTTTTGTTTAAGACTGTATTTTTTTTGACAGGCAAGTTCTCCAGTCTACTTATGGAACGGAAGACAAATGAAGGCAGTGGAACGAATGGTGAGTTTTACTTTTCTTATTGATTTTCAGATCTACAGTTTCTTTTTATTTACTTTACTACGTTCAGAACATATTTTATCCTTTATCACTTATCTTTTATTTTAGATTTTTCTTTCTTTCTTTAATTTGATAGTTTACACTCTTTCAGGTACATCTTCCAGTGTAGTCACCAGACGAGGACCACATTTTCTTTGGAATCGTCCTTCCAGGATCATGCGGACATCCAGGAGAGGTAGGATTTATAAATTTTCTCTAAACACTCTTTCTTTTTATTTAGCTAACACTATTTATTTTATCAACTATATTATCTTTTTTAATTTAACTTCTTTTCACGTCTTTTTTTTTACAGGCCTTCTTCAGGACCCCTCGCCTCTTCAAGGACGCCGTCCATCAACGGGGGTCATTTCTAACGGGTGAGGATAGCTCCCAACGGTAAGGTTCATCTTTCAACGGCTGGAGCCGTCTTCCCATGGTAAGAAATCCCTTTCAACGGCGACGACCACCACTCGTAGGTAAGACTTATCCCTTCGCGAACCGGAACACCTTCAAGTTGTTTGAAGGTGATCCTCTCTGTGGAAGGGTGGCACTTGTGTCACTTCTTCCTCAGATAAGATCATCTTCAAGCAACTTGGTGGTGATTTCTGTTTGCGCAGGTATAAGTCAAGCCTTCGAATGGGGATCTAAGTCGTTGAAGGTGCTTCTAACCACCGGGAAGACCGCTTGCGGCCATTGAAAGGTGGCAGTTACCACTTGGGGGGTATCCAAACCTGCTGGAAATGACCCCGCGCGCGGACAGGGGACGCACGTCCCCCACCGGCTTCGAATAACAAAAACCTTCGACGTAGGGATGCACCAGTCGAAAAATACAAAATTGTCATTTTAAATATATTTATTTTAATAAAAATTACAATACACCCCCCCTCTGTTTTATTTCACCTGTTAGCAGATAACTAATGCAGCTTACCCAAGGATCACTGAGAGGACACTACAAGGAAGGGTAAGAATTACAAGCCTTGCATCTTTCAAATCTACCCTTTCTTCTATTCAGTTTAGGACATTCTTCAAACATTTGTTTTTCTTCGTTGAAACCATCCCTTTTTGTTTAAATTCAGTTGAAACT